ACGAAGATGCTCAGCAGTGGGAGGACAGGCAGAGCAGGCACCTGCGGGCGAAGGCAGCTACCCTGAGCGCGCCGCGGACCTCGCGAAGGCAGGCCCCGCCCCACGCGGGGGTGGGGTAGATGCCAGGCCTGTTCACACTGTGCAGCCAGCGCCTCCCCAGGTTGGGTGTGTAAAGCGCTGAGAGTGGACCAGGGAAGGGCCACTGGTTATGGCAACTCCCCTCCTTCCCTGGTCCAGCAACAAATGTTTAGATTGCAAAACATGCAGACATCACTCACTCAGGGTGGACAGTTTGGGCACATAAGGTCACCCACCTTGAAGAGAAGAGGAGTGGGGCCCTGGGGCTGCCTCCAGATGGTGACAGTGACCCCGGCGATGAGCACCAGCAGCAGCACAGCCACCGTTGTGCAGACGGGGTCTCCAGAGAACACACAGCGGGGCCACTGGGCCAGCACCAGGCTCAGGGCCGTCAGCAGGAGAACTGCAGGGTCCAGTTGGAGGAGAACAGGGTCAAGTCCAGAAGCCAGTGTGTCAAGTCCTTGAGTCACACCCCTCCCCAGACTGCCCACATCAGGAAGCTCATATTATCTCCAAGAATCCTCAACACCCACCAAGGTCACACTCCCACCCCATTCTCTCAATTTCTGAACAGCACCAAAGAGCCATCCCACTGCTCACCCATCAGTAAGGTGCATCCATAGACAATCCGGCCAGATGTCAGAGTGGGGGTGCTGTTCATAGGGTCACACAGGGTCCTGAGAGTCTCTGAGTCTCGTGCTTCAGGTGCAGAGTCCAGAGGACCTGCTTCAGATTCAGGAACCTCAGTTTTGTCCTCTGTGCTCCCGTTCGTCTGTAAATGCTGGTCTGGCTGGTACCTGAATTAGAGGTGTTAAGGCAATATTAACAGCAGCCCCTGCTCACCCAATACAAACAGTCTAACCCACCTCGGTCCTGCCGTACGCACAGCGGGACATTTAGAAGGCAGCATGCGTGTAGACGGGGATTGCCTCCCCATCCATCCCCACAAGGGCAAGACCCCCAGTCAGCGTGCGGTGGACTCTCACCTGAGGACAAGGACAGAAATAACCACCAGCGAGTAAGCAAACAGGGTCCCAATTGACATGACGTCCACAAGATCACTGAACTCGAAGAGTAACGCCATGATCGCTAGAAGGAGGCACAGATGAGGTGCGGGAGGGGGTCAGAAACCACTGAAATGTCCAAGTTAAGGGAAGTGATCAAAGGAGTGGGTTTTGTTTAGTCACCTGCAAGGTTTCCAGAAGCCAAAGTGGCCACGATGGGGGTATGTGTGCGGGTGTGGATCCGGGCAAGTCTCCGGAAAAGGAGCCCGTCATCTGCCATCGCGTAAGTCACTCGAGACATGGCGAACATGGTACCCAGGAGGCTGGGAGACAAAGTGGAAGCATGTGTGAGGACGTGGAGAAATAGGACAGATCAGGGCTTCTGTGCCATAGTCTACATGGTGTGAGGAGTCTTCCCTCTTGTCTCTCAATCCAAAAGGCTGGGACACCTGGGCACCTGACAGCAGATGGGGAGAAAGCTTTGACACTGACCCAGATGTCAGCGCACAGAGGGTGCCAACAGCCACCACATGGCCGGCAGGAGCCCACCCAACGTGGAGAAGAGCCTGTGGCAAGGGGCTCTCAGGGTCAATGTGGTAGTACGGCACCATGAGGGTGAGTGACGCTGAGACGCCAAAATACGCCAAAAAGCAGATGAAGAGCGAGGTCAGGATGCCCAAGGGGATGGAGCGCTGCGGATTCCGGGCTTCCTCCCCTGCAGGATGGGGGGGGAGAAGCACTGGGTCAGGAAACACCTTGAGGGGAAAGCACACAATCCCCTTTCCTCTTGAGCCTCCAAAAGCAGAGCAACCTCCTAGAAACTCTTATGCACAAGAGCAGCCCAATCTATAGCCAAACCCCTGAGGGGACAGTGACCGTGTTACCTGCAGTGGCGATGACATCAAAACCAATAAACCCATAGAAACAGGTAGCTGCTCCTCGGAGAATCCCATCAAAGCCAAAAGGCACAAATCCTCCAGAACCCAGAGGGTCCAAGCTGCGGTCAGGGGAGGAAAGAGAAGAACGTGGGTGAGGTGTGTTCGGTGATCTCTGCCAGACTCCTCAGCTGACACCATGGCTCCTGAGCTCCAGGAGCCCCATCATCTGGACCCACCAGCCCGGATCTGTTTAGTCCCCACCATGTCTCCAGTTCTGCACAGTAACCACGCCCTCACCACGCATTGCCCTGGCCAGGAGCACCCTCCTAACCTATAGGTGTCGTTGGGTCCAGATGTTGTCAGTTATAGTCCTGTTCCGTGAGCTGCCAGTTGTGCAGGTCTCC